GTACTCTGGAAGGCAAATCCAATGCAGCAGGCCACAGGCAGAATCCTTGGACAGTAACCCGTGAGCTATGCGATAAAATTAAAAAAAAACCTCTGAAGCAAGCATAGCCCCCTACCGGTCAATCGTGGATCGGATCGAACAAGAATGAAACCGATAGCTCCATGAGAGCTGCTTTGCTTTGCAATCTCGAATGTTGTCGCTGCTGAAAAAGTCGGAACGAATGCATTTCAAGTGCGCGGCTCGGCTTCTAAGCAGATGCAGGGCTCACCGAGAGATTGCAATTCAACATCCATCCGTCGTCGGTGACTTGTTTTGACATACATTGGCCCCACCATGGGCTTCGAGATTTGAGCTCTTTGGGCAGCATAATGACAGCGCATACACAGGCTGAAGACGAGGCGCTACGCACATTCTACGTTAATTGATGGCTGATTTTTTTTGTTTTTTTTTTGTTTTTTTTTTGTGGAGGGGACCTAGAAACCCGAAGAACACAACCCAAGAACCCAAACCCGAAACCTGAAGGCGTCTCTCTGAGGCACAGGGCAAGTTTGCTCCATCCAGCTTCTCCTCGAAGTACCTGCCACGCAGTGCGGGGGTTGGAGTGACTCAGGAGCCGCTGTGTGGCGGGAGCATGGCACAGACTACACGGGATTTTCCTCACGCGCTGGATTGTCCAGCAATGCTGCGACACTTATGGCCAAAGGGGACTACATATGAAGAACCCCTAGAGAAGAGACCAAAATCGGGCATATGACCCTGAAAGAGAACTCCGAGCCCTATCGGCGAAAGTTCTTCGCAATGCTATTGGCCAACCCAGAACGGTTGCCCCGATCAATCTTGATTTGAGCCGCCACCACCTGGGTGGAAGCGGAGCCGCATAGCTCGAGAGTGGAAGCATACATCGATCTGGCTAAGTCTCCTAAGAACGGATACTGCAGAGCGAAGCGAACACTCTCCCCCGACATTTGTTGGGTGACATCTCGCATCGGCTGGAAACGGGTCAATGCATCAGATTTCGCTGCACCGCTCATGAGCGTCTCAATTGCATCAAGCGCCTTTTGATGCGGCAGGGCGGTTCTGTCTTTGTTCACAATCAGCACCCGCCGTGTGGGTTCCCACGATAAGTAGGCCCTGACCAGCTGTTGTCGCAATTGAAGCGGCTAAAGGTGCCATCAACTGCACGCTTGATCAAGTTTGACATCAAGGAGTTTTTCATGTCAGGTCGACACCAACAGCTATCAGATCTTGCATCTCAGTGTTTCCCTGAAGATATGCGCACAGATGCTCGTTGCATGATTGACTGCATTTTGAGCAACCAAGTTGTGATGGTTCCCGGAGACGAAAGGCTCTGGTCTGTCAAAGTCGGCACAGGGATGGGATTGAGATGTTCTGGCGAGCTTTCGGACACATGTTTTTACAAACTTGCTGAAGAGGGTTTCGCCTCAAGCCTGGAGGTACAGCAGCGATATGGAGTGCTACACTACAGCCGTTTCAAAGATGATGGGTTCATTATCATAGATGGAACCCGTGAGCAGAGGAACTCGTTCTGCCAAGAGCTGAAACGCAAAGCAGGCTGTTTCCACATCGTTTTCGACAGTGTGTCTCCCCATGACGCCATTTTCCTGGACATTCGTTTGTTTAAAGGGCTAAGATGGGCACGAACAGGAGTTCTCGACTTTTCCTTGCATCTTAAAGATAGCAAGCAATGGACTCCATTGTTGCCTAGCTCCAGTCATCCTTTTTCAGTTCATCTCTCATGGCCGCTTGCACAGGTAAGTAGAATCGCAAAACGGTTCAGCGACCAAAAGGCGGGCAGAATAGCTGTTCGCTCTTTCAAGCTCCAGTTTGTGCAAAGCACTGGCATTGATCTTGATTCTGTAGCACCCCGCCTCCATCACTCCAGGAAGTTTGATCGCAAGTGTTTGTTGCCTCGCCTTATTTTGCCGTACTGCGCAGAGTGGGTTGAGGCTAAAGTCTCAAAAGCCATATCGCTTGTGTTCAGGGGCCTCAACATGTCCCGGCACACTGGCAGTGAATCACAGCAATCACCAGTGCAGGTTGCTTGGAAGTTAGGCGGCCGGCATTTGGTGCATGTTTTGCATTCGTACAACCAGATACAGCTACTGGAGGAGAAGGGGAAGGTAGGTGGGTAATTGTTGCTGTTGCATCGCTCAGCATCTGAATTCCGAAGTTTGATGCGTGAGCTCATATGTTGCAGCACTTTTCTGCGCAAGGCGCTCAGCAAAGCAAGGCTACACCTAGAGTCGCAAGTTCTAGGGCGCAGAGAAAAGGTGCTGCAGAGATCGCGCCTTGAACCTGGTTATCGCCCAGTCTTTCAGTTGTTGCTTCTTTGTTTAGGGTTTAGGGTTTAGGTTGTTATGAAAAGTGACTATGAGCTGTTGCTTATTTTAAAGAGAAGTGTAAGGATATCCTTGTTGCGATTATGAGCTGTTGCTTTTTGGTTAAGAGAAGTGTAAGGAAGTCCTTGTTGCGATTATGAGCTGTTGCTTCCTTTTAAGAGAAGTCTAAAGAAATTCTTGCAAGGAACCCCTCAGGTTTTTGATTTTGAAGGATGTTTGGGCTTCAGGGATTTCCCGATATGTTTTCAGGGTTAAGGGGGCGGCCCGAGGGACTGCTGACATCCGAAGTCCAACATCCGGCTTAGAGCTCCTAGGGTTTGGGGAATTCAGGGCTCTAAAGTTTGCAGAGTTTGCTTCTTGAAGGGGTTTATGGTGGTGTATAGGGGTTTATGGGGGTTTAGGGGTTTATGGGGTTTATGAGGGTTTATGGTGTTTATTTGGGGCGTCAGATTTTCGGGCTTGGTTTAGGCTTTTAGCAAGGGTTTAAATCAGGGGGCTGAGGGTTTAGTAAAGTTTTGAAGGGTTTTTGATATGGGGTTTAGGCGCTCTAGGGCCTTAGGCTTTAGGATTCATGTGAGGGTGCCGCTTTGCAGTCTTGCACCCTAGGGATTTGATTAGCCTCGGTATTGCCCATTACCTAGATCCTGAACCATAAGCCCTAAACCCTTCTTGTTTCGGGGTGTGGAGTTGTGAGTTTGGGTTTGAAGTAGCTGCCATAAAGTCCGGTCTCACCGTCCTCATGCATGCGCACACACAGACACTTAGCTTCAAGATGATACCATCCGGAATCATTCGATATCATTCCGTTCCATTCCAACTCATTCGTTTTCACTCCGTTCAATCACCCGAATTAAGGCTCGGAATAGCCCAAACTCCTTACGTAAGGGTTTTTGGGCCCGCACGGCTCATAATATGAGTCCTAAGAGCCTTAAGGTAAGATCTGCTAGAGCCTTACCTATACTATTTGGGGGGTTCCTCACTCAAAGTTAGAGTAGAATGGGCCCCCAACACCCTAAGTATTCCGGCCGTTTCGCATCGCCCACATATAGTAATCCTGATAGACCCCTTTAAACGGAACCCTTCCAGGAACCCTATTCTGATATATTAAGGCCCCTATATTATAGAAGCCTACTGCAGATCCCGTGTAGACCCCTTCAAGGATCCCTTCAAACGAACCCTATATGTGATAAAGCCCTATTCTAAGTACTCAGGCCCCTATATTAACAAAGCCTCCGCGCAGACACCCGAACACTGCAATCCAGCCAGAGGCTTACAGGTGTTCTTTGAGCAAAAACGCAAGGTCCTAAAACACCAAACCCGCAAACTCCAACTTGCCAGATCCTCAATCCTACACCGTGACGTCTACGGTCTATAGTAATTTTCCTTGAACTCTCATATAGTGACCCGGATAGACCTCTTAAGTGACCTTATATCACCCGTACAGAAAGGACTTAGGGTCTTTAAAGCATGCTGCAAACTACCCCCCCCCCCCGCCGAGGCTGCAGCTGCAAGAGCCTCTCGTGAGCCTTGCCGCTGTTAGGAAAGACGGTGTCAGATAGATTTTGTTTAGACTTTTAGGGGGTTTAGGGTTCAGGGGTTTAGAATCCTAGACCTAGACCAGAGCCTGGCAAACCGCAGAAACCCTCAACCAAAAGGTGACCAAGCCCAGTAAAGTTCTGGCACTGGTCAAACCCCATGGAGGATTTGGGTTGCTCTACCAAAACAGGTTCTCAGTGGAAACACGAGTCGCGGTCTACAACTAGAACCGTAGCTACCCTGTCAGGATAGGACATCCCTTGTCCTGCAATCCTACATAAGTACTACGGTTCATGATACAAATCCTGCATTACCCATAATAAACAATATAACATAATTCCCATAGTTTAGGGTCCTTAAGGTAATGCAGGATTTATATCATCAACCGTAACTCTGTAGCCTTTGTAGGCCCTTTGAGATGGAACATCCACCCTAGAGGCCTTAAACCCCTTAGCCGTAACCATACACCCGTAACCCTGAATGGGAGTTTCCGAAAATACGGGACCCTAAGATAGTAATTACCCTAAATAAGTAGGACCCTCATTATAAGGACCCCAAAACAAGGTACCCCTAATTCCCGCAACTCCGAATGTGAGTCCCCATGTCAACAGCCCTAGAACCCAAGCCCTTAATCTGTAGCCTTCAACCCTGAATCTTTAATCCTTGGCATGTTCCCAGAGAGCCCAGTACCCCTTAATTAAGGAATATGGCTTAAACCATAATATGAAGCCCAAGGTAATTTAAGCCATATTCCTTGATTAAGGGGTATTGGGCTCTCTGGGCTAACCAAACTTTACCCCAGACCCCCTAAGGGGCCCAAAGCTTACAACCCACGAAAAGGCGGTAGGCGTGGCTGAACTGGGCTTTGGAGTACCACATGTTAATACTTGTTTGGGACCTGTTACTTAAAGAGAACCGTTGTGAAAT